TTCAATGACATCTGACCACTGTGTTCAGACCAAAGCTGTTTGGTTTTTTTTGGTTTGGGGTTTTGGTTGGTTTGGGTTTTTTTTCTGTGCTGGTTTTGGGGGAGGTTGTTCTGGTTGGTTTTTTTTACTGTAACCCCGATAGGTGTGCAAAAACTACTGATGCTAACTAGTGAAATGAACCTTCAAAAGCGTAACAATGTTTTAGGACTGTTTCATGGGAACTATAGCTGCATTGCACTAAAATTTCACTCTAAAGTAACACCCTTGGGACTGTATGCCTTCCTTCAGCTTCTGTAGACTCATCGCTTACCCACTGGTAAAACTCTGTATGGCGATGCAAATACAAGCTACAGAAACCTAAAGCCTGAGCAGTGCACTGAATTAGTGAATAAGCCTTAGGCCCAAAGCTAAAGGGCTACATTCTTTACCAATTTTACCTATCTTGCATCCACACACTGCGCCCTGCTTCTCCAGGACTTGCAGCCTGACTGACTGTACTCATAACTACCATTTATCAAGAAAGGGATGAACTAATCATAGTCATCTTAAAGCTACAATTTAGCTGACGTTTTATACAAAGTGAATGCCTTGTAAAAGCTTGCATTTTTAGCACCTGTTTGTTCCTTTTTCTGTAATAGCCAGTTTAAAAGACATAGGGGTGTTTTTTCCTAGATCAAAGTGCTTCCCATTTTATGTTTTCGTTTTATAGAAAAATGCTTTCCATACTGGCAAAAACTCGTACTATTTTTAAAAGGTACACGTAGTTCTAGTAAATGATACAAAACATGCTTTTTCAAGCAATGGGAAGCAAGCAGAAAGAGAACCATGTAAATCATTATTTTTAGCTTATTTTTCGACATAAGACAGTCTATGAATTGAGCTGTTTTGCTAACTTTGTGACACAAACAAGTTATTTGAAATTCACCTATCTGGGGAGGTGGTTTTATCAAGAGTAAACAGTGAAAAATGCTTCTTTGTAACACAGCACAAGACTGCCATTAATTGACAGTGACCAGACTAAACCCTGCTATTAAGACTGTTCTCAGGCTTTTGCTGAAAAAAGGATCAAAATCTGCTTATGTTGTAATGTTGTCTTCTTTGAAGTAATGTAGTCTTCTTTGAAGCCATATGTGAAGTGGGACTATAAAGTATTATGGCCCACTTGAATTCTACTGCTAACAGTGATGTTCCTTGAAGCTCTAAAGCATGTAAAACATTAGATCATACCCCACACTTGCTCTATCTAAACAAAACCCATGCCATGCACTAAGGTGAATTAAAAAGCAAAACCAAAACACTGATCTGATCAGTATGTATTAATTGGATATTGCTTAACCATAGTATTAAAAAAGATTCCTATTCTTAGTGTAGCTAAAATAAAGCTTTATTAGGGATAAAAAAAAAAAAAAAAGGCCAACCTTTCTGTAACATTAGTCTTGGCTCAAGAATGTTAACACTGCCAAAGACAATACTTAAACAAACAAACAAAAAAAAAAAGCCCAAACACCATAGACATTACTTGTCAGATAACTGCGCTCACTTGAAGAGTGCATTTAGATGTATCTGTCTTGACTCTTGTACAAATACCTTGGTGGCTGCCATGGGGAGTTAGGTGTTGTAACGTCTCAGATCCTCTCTTTGGATGTAGCCTTAGCATCTGATGCTCTGCTGGAGTCAGGATCAGATGCAGTTTTGAAAGCAGCTTCTCCATTGGCAGGCTGCCACTGCATGGTCCAACAGCAGGCAGAATTATAAAATAATAGAAAATAGTCTAAAGTTACATCATAGCATTCGTACTGATAAATACTCAAAATTTCCTCAAAGGAGAAAGTTACCTAGGTATAATTAAACATGCATCACAGTGAGCTTCCATTTGGGGTACTTGCCATGGGACGGCTGCACTGCTTGCAGAGCCACCCGTAATGCGATGGGGACTGAATCACCTGCTGCTTATTACGTCCAACCCGTCCCTTACCTGCAACCACAAGGCTTGTCTTCCCTCATTAATGCCTGAAGATTACAGCAGCTTCAATATGGCCTGAAGTGCAATTCCAGCTGGTTTATGATGCTTTCTATGACTTCGGCACTTCAGGGAAAGCACGCAGCAAATGGAAAGCAAACAAGCATGCAAACAGGGAGACAGCTTCTCACCAGGAAAATAATCTCTTTTACAAGAAGCTGTCCTAAATAAATAATGCACTTACCCTTAATAATAAAAAATAATAAAATCTGTTCAATGCTACAATCTGGTGAGAGATTGAAGGAGATCTCTTGCCAGAGTTCTGCTGTATTTGAATAGGCACAATACTAATACATAATAATAATAAAAATAAAGACTTCTTCCCCCAAATAAAATTACATCTGTTTACTTATCATTAGATTGCTCTAAGCTGTGCTATAGTCTTAGAAAGCCACTTATAGTGGCTTTCCAGCTAAGTTGCCACTGATTGTTTGACTTGATTTTGTGTGGTAAAGGCACTCCAGTATGGGACTGGCATACTCTGCAAAACCATTTACTTCTATTTAGGAGTTAAAAATACATTTGCTTTATATTTTCTCCAGGAAACATAAGTATAGTCTGAGTGGGTACGATATGACTGACTTGATATTCTAATAACGGTTCAAAACGCATTAACTGCAGCACAACTTTGTAACACTGACATTTCTGGAGTAAGACACATCAGTATTCCCAAATAAAACACACTACAATATATTTTTGCAATATTTTTTGTGGAAAATATTTTCTTGTGGACCAAATAAAATTAAACTTACCATCTGCTTGTATGGCTTTTATTTGATAAAAATGTGTAGATTGGACAGGATCTTGTTACCATGAATTTGGGATAATTCCCATTCACTTAAATTTTGGAAGCAACTGAACATGCAAGTCAAAGGTTATCGATTCAGAAGTATACTCTTGCTAAAACATTGTAAGTCGTTTTTAATCAGAGAAGGCATGATCCCTAGTCCCTGGGGATTACTGTGTTTTTTATTAAATACAGTCGGTGAAGATTGCTCCTTTTGTACAAAAATAATGGAATGAACCAATTTTTAAAAAAATAAATTAAAAATGACCATTGTTTAAGAATCTAAAACATATTAAAAAATTTAAAAATAATGGGGGAGGTTTACATTTCGTACAGAACCAGTATGAGGTAGAAATTGAAGTCATATTTTCAGAATTGCCCTAAAGGTATTAATGAAATCTCTCAACTACTTTTGAAAATAAACTCAAGGACTGTCACATAACAAATATGTACGTGGTAACACTAACTCGCAGCTGAAATTAAAAATTTTATCTTAAAGATTCTAGTCACAAAGCAAGGTGCCATTTTTGCTTGATCTTGCTCTCCATTTTGCTCGCCACCAATTCTTTGAAAGTCACTCTAGCAGTTCACCTTGATGTCTGAATTTCCTGGACTTTGTTTCCAGGCAACAGCTTCTAGGAAGAAGGAGCCTTAAGCCAGCATAGACTGTTACTGGCAGTAATAAAAACTGCCCAGTATTGAAAACTCCATAATGGTTCTGCTGTAGCTCTGACTTTTTCATTCCCCAGTGCTGATTACTGACTATGTGTTATCTGAACAAAAGTTTTCTTCCTTTAGTCTCATTCGTTCATTTTCAGAGAAGCCAAAATTTGTATTTGTGACCTGCCTGTAACTGTAGAAACAAGTAGGAAGAGCTACTGATACAATTTGATTAACCATAAAAAAGCATGCAGTCCGTATGTTGAAGAAAGATGAGTAGCTATGTGTTGCATACACAATAGAAAGATTAATTTTACCCCCTCCAAAAAAAAGATTATACTTTTATCAAGGAGCTCTGGTTATGTCATATAACTTCAAGTATTATTAGTATCAGAACCCAGCAACCTTTAATGCACACACAACAAGGGTTTTTTTGATGTATATTTAAATTTTGATCCCAACAAATACATTTCTTAGGACACGTTGTGTTAAAAAACTATACAATCCGTGTAGCAGCAGATACTTCATGTTTTCCCCTATTCGTTATCTTCAATACATACTGCTGTGTTCCCCCTACTTTTCACAAATTTTCCACCCAGCAGAGAGGATGTTCATGGGCACAAGCAAACAGGAACCCAGACTAGTTGGTACAGATAAACTCCAGCCACTTCTAGTAGTAGGGCCTGGCTGACCTCTACCACTGAAATCGTTAGACAATCACTAACATCAACAGGAAAGGTGCTGCTTAGTGTTCAGAAGAAAGTCTGAGACAGTTATTTCTTCACCACTGTAAGACCAGGAAAAACTAGCAATTTTTGAAATCATGAAAAACTAATTATGCAGTTCAGTCAAACTTAATGGCATTTAAAAAAACCTGGTTTTACAAGCAAACAGAAGTGTGCTCTAGGCTCTAGCAATATTATGATATTTGAAACGATGTCTGCATCACATGATCAGCGAATACTGACCAAATGTTAAATCAATAGAACAATTTCTTGCACTCAGACTAATAATGTGTCAGTCCGACCATTTATTTAAAAGACTGCTTAACACCACGGATTTAGCATGTCTTTGCATTTTGCTTTGTAGCTCTGACTGTTTTCAAGCTTTAAGTATATTTTATTTTCATTGTATAGAGAAGAATCTGATGCACAGTCCCAGTCTAACAGATCAGTGACAGAGCCAAGAACACAAAGGTCTCCTGACTGCTTGCTTATTAGGTCATGCCTTAACTACACGCTGTCCCTCAAAGCTTCCTCCTAAACTAAGAGTCGATGCAAAAAATTAAATGTTAATCATTGTGTAAAGCAGTAAAAATAACAATTTGCCTTGAAGTAATTTTTCCCCTTATTAACCAGAGATATGATTATTTTGCCATTGTGGCAGCATAACAAAAGAGATGTTCCTGAATGCAAAAAATTAGACTTAGGAATCTCAGGCTAGCTAAAAAAGTCTTGTAAAACTTTACCACACTACTATTAATTTTTATATCATAGAATTAAGCTGATGTATAAGATGTCAATAGGCTTATCTTTACAACTTGAGATCGTTGGTTCCCAATGGCTTAAAACAATCATCCACAAATTCATCACTGACTTCTTCTAGAGCAGCTGGCTTCCATCTGGGGGATTGATCTTTGTCAATCAGCACTGTCAGGTGGAGTATAAAAACACAAAAGTTACTTGTAAACTTTGTCTAATTAAGATGATTTCAGATTGTATCAAGACAGACAACTACAGTGAATACATGGGGGAGAAAAATCAATATGCTCTGGAGAAGACAGAGTTTTTGTAACACATATATATTTCTACTGTAATAAAAATTTTTAGTTGTGACCTATTCAGAGACGTTTCTGGGAGTTGCCTGATGATACAAGGGACAGCGGATCGTTTCAGAAGCAGCCCAGGCTTTGAAGGAACAGACCTGGAATTAGTGCTTTCTGTTAGACCTGACCTCTTGCCTGACTTCTACTTTTTCATATGAAATTGGGGACAGTATGCATGATGCTCCTTTTGGATAAGGGCTTTCACATCTCTTTGTAGAGTACAGGAGACGACTCAAAGTAGGTGTTAAAAGCTTAAAGCTAATTTAAACACATCATATAAACTAATAATGAAATAGCTAATGAGGAAAGAGTAAAGCAGAGTATCTTTGTGGGAAAATCAAGAATACTTATTTGTAAATACTGACAGATCCTGCAGACCTATGTAGATTTAACTGTGAAGATCTGTATAATCCTAGTATGTATACCTTACGCTGTATCCTGGGAAATACACCACTGAAGATACAATCATCAGTGAATGAATTGCATGTAAAAGTGTAACAGGAAAATATCAGTTCTCAGAAAGCATTCCTTGTATCACAGGAATGTCGAAGGCATGTCAGCAAGAACAGCTGCACTAGCAAACAATAGGAAGACAGGAGAGAGTTTATTTGTTTGTAAAAATGACCAGTAGGAATAGAATTCCAGAGCATCCTTCCAAGCACCTTTCTGGCTCCAAGAAAGCCCAGAAAGGTGTTATGCAAAATGTGAAATTTTTATAATTTAAAAAAGAACAGCTATAGTAGCTGTGGCCCTCTAGGATTCACTGACTACCCAACATCCCTCCTCAACACACATTCCCTTCAGATGTGTGGTATCAGCAACTGATTTGGAGATGCAGCTGCGTCCTGGGAGACCCCCTGACCAACACAGCCTGCAGCATTTAAGCAAGGATAGGCAGAAAGCACCTTTCAAGTTCCTCTGCTGAGAACAGAATTTGTTTGTTTGTTTTCTGACAAAGAGTTCAGAGTAGGATGGTTCTACGCTTGTGTGGACAGAAGACACTCATGGAGACTAGCTATTTTGAAGAATAACAGCTATTTTTTTGGTAAGTTGTACTATCTATCTTTCTAAGCGGACTTCATTCTTGGTGACTAAACTAGAACCATCCAGGATGACAAATGTGCAAAGGAGTTAGATTTTAAGTTCAGTGGAAAGAATGCCTACCTAAAGATTGTGTCTTATCAAAAGACAGGCATTATGGCAGTTTGTGGTAAAAAATGTGACTTGAAAACTTCTTTTTAATTCTTTTCTCTATAACCAACACTTGCAAAGTGCCTAGAAAATAAATGCCATTCAAATGACCGCTACACTGATTAATATTTCTGTAGCTGAAGACATCCAGGTGTTGTAACTCTTTAGCTTGGATGTCCAAAAAGTAAAGGAGAATTAGAGCCCTGCATCCATTTACCTGTAAATAAAGGACTAAGGACTCCTTGGATACAAATAAACACTAATTTTTAAAAGAAACCTGTTATATAGATAGAAGTTGCAATTCCACAGACAGTAGAACCTATGCAGACAATTCTTTAAAAGAAACGTGCTGTAAAAAAGTGATTTTACTAGGTCATTCAACTGGGTAACTTTCTGAAAAGTTATGATTCTACAAGTTAATTTAAAACGTTGTAATGTGAAGCCATTGATTGGTTTAGGTCAAAATACGTAATTGTCCCAAACCAACTATATTGATTCCATCAGAGTAGTACTTATCTAATGATTTTCTTCAACTTTACTTGAAGTTGACGATCCGGCCAAAATAATCTTAACTGTTATCCACAAAGCCAATACTGACCAGAGATGCTTTAAATTAAGAGAGGAGGGAAAAGGAAAAAGTCCATGTGTATACTACTACAGCTTCAACTCTGAAATACAGTAGTAATTGGTGATAATTCTCCACTCTATGGCACCACTACTGTGTAATCAAGTGAATCTTTCTGTTTGGATCTGTGGCCAATTTTATTCTGGTGGATAAACTGAATGCTCATAATGATCTCTCCAATTAAATATTTAATCTTACATGAGTTAAAATATTTGTTTTCTAATAGTATCATGAAAATATTCCCTTTCTGCATTAACTTCTGTATATTTTGTGTTTCTCCAGCTTGAGATACTGATCACTGTAAGAATGGAACAAAAATTCTGAAGACTTCTAAGGTAGGCTAAGGGAAGTTCATTAAGATAAAAGTAACTGAACATAGACATCGTGTTAAGGGCTTGTTCTTGTGTTTTGCTTTAGAAAAAGACAAAAAAAATCCAAAATCCTTCTGTTCAGTAGCAGTGACTTTCTATTGCTTAGTTTCATTCCGCACAGTCAAAACACTGATATTTCTAAGCACCTGAAATTCTGTTAGTTGCAATGGAATCTCTCTGCCTACTCACTGACTGCAGGGAGGTTTGTGTGTCCAGGGTAAGGCTCACATCTGCCAGCTGCTACTGCTGCAGGAAAGGGTGCAGAAGCCATACAGAAACCAGATCTTTGCAGGATCAGCCATATGCAGAAGGCCTTTACAATTCCATTTGAAGTGTGCAAAAAACATAGGCAGGAAGCTAATTTAACAGATTTTTGTCCCCTCAGGCTGCTGAGATTGTAGTCTACCTGGGTATGTTTGAGCACTGACTCCAAAAGTAACCACTTTTCTTATGCAGTAAGAATTAAAAACCAAAATTCTTGGAAATTACCTGGAGCTATACATTTTTTATTTTATGTATTGTTCTATAAATCAAGGTGAAAAATGGATACCTAAAGTTTTCAAAGACTACATTTACCATTATATGGGAAAATGTTGATGATGTATGATGAAATATGATCTGAGTATTTTATGCTTTAAGGGTTTTGGCTTTTCTTTAGCATCATAAATCATAAATTTAGTATAATAAAGAATTATAAATGGGGAAGGCTGTTTGCCACTAATTTTTCAGTCTCATTGAATTAAAACTGGCTAAAAGAAAAACGAAACTTTGACCTCAGGTCAAAGCAGGTTTAAAAAGCTTTTAAACAAACTACTTTCCTAGCATGCCTATTAAAATCATGGTTTGAAGCAGATAAAAGCTGTTATTAAAACCTGACCTGTGGTCGTTGCTGCTGAAAAACGATCTTCAAAAACTGAAATCTGATTATTATATCTTAACTTTACTCTGTGGTAGATCTTCTTGTGGTAGACAGGGTGAGCAGCTGGCTCTTAAATGCTTGGAATGTAATACTTCAATTAAAAAAAAAAAGCTAATACTTAAGTTAACATTTTTATCACTTTCATTTTTATTCACTGTAGTTGGTCCTGTGAAGTACTTAATAATCTTACTTTCTATTAAAAAGTATGCTCAGCGCACTGTTGGATAATAATTTTTTTATGATATTAGCCCCAACTACAAAAATGATCTTAAATCAGATTCTGTACCACTCTTAAACAGGTGAAACAATTTTAAGATGACAAATCTGAGAACAAGATATATGCAGTAAGCAGGGAGCAAAAGCACTTCAAAACCAATTATTCTTAGCAATCTCCTTAGTGCGGCTGGATCTCTGGTGTGTGTTTGTGGTTTGTTGTGGCTTTTTTCTTCCCCTGATATAGTTAAGCCTTTGCTGTATCATCCTATGTAAAAGAGAAGCTTCCCAACTGCTGTTCTTGCAGCTTTTTTTCTTTACAAGCAGTTTGCGTAACTTACTGGCCATACTGACAACTGATTTGCTTTTGTCCTCTACTGCATCCTCAGATGGTTTAATGACCTTGTGCGCTACAAGTGAGAATTTGATTTGGTGTTCATCTGACTCTCAGACTTTGAGTTTGTCACTTCCTGAATAACTACACTTCAGCAGCTCATATGGTGATTTAGAGTATGTCCTAGGAATAGTCTTTTTAAGATATCCTTGTCCCCATTACCAACACAATGAAAACCACGTACTTCTCAACATGTGTGGTAAATTCTTCAAAGGAGTCTCTGCTAATAAGTGCTAAAGATTGATTAATTAAAATCAAAAACTTTTTTCATGCTGTACAAACAAACTTTGCATCTCTCACCCCAGGCTATCTTTAATACAGTGTTACTAACAGTGAACACTCAAATTAATATTCATTACTCAAGTGGATTTTAAACTACTTTATAAAAAGACAGATATAAAAAATGAGGAGGTGATAATACATACTCGAGTATATAACTGTGTGAATTAAAAGACAGGTTCCCTCAACCCCAAAGTACTGTTCATCCAAATGTCTCGTACTGTAAGCTCCTTGGAGAAGGAAATGCCTGTGCTTTGTTTCATCTTGTGCTGGATAGTACATAAATAATTGCTACATTTTCTAACAGATGTGACATTGGGTCTGACAAACTGCATAGTGAATCAGCAGTAGAATCAAGGACAGAATCTAAGTCTGTCCCCTAGATGAACTTGCTGAGCCACTGCTCTACTTTTACCACTACCTACCTTGACCAATTCCTTAAAATGCTGAATTATTTAACATTAAGCTCACATACATAGTTTTTTAATAGTAACGTACCTCTATACAGAGATATTTTGGACGTGGATGAAGGTAGTCTCTGTTCTAACAATTTTCTATGCAAATAGTTGTTCTTGACTTCGAGTCTTAAACCATCTTATAGCTGGCTGAACCAGCTATGTGGCAACACTAAATCTGGACATGTAAATGATACACATAGCTACTCACTACTTTCAGCATTAAATATATTTTGAACTTTCCCAATGAACTGGTGAAACCTTTTCATGGTGCTGCTTTACCAGGTGGATAAATAATGTTAGGAAACTGAGATTACACAAAGGAAACAACATGGCTGTTACACTTTGGAACAAATAATGAATTTTGGCCATCCAGGACTCCAGTAAGCAAAAACTGTGGCAGGCTGGGAAGTGTTCTCTGGGCTGTTGCTGTGTACACTTTTCTTAACCTCCAGAGAAGCAACACAACAGTGAGTTTGCATATTATTAAATTTGAGAAATGTTTATGGTGTGCATACTTACTTGCTCGAACCCCTTCATAGAAGTCATGGCCCCTCTGAAAGATTTAAAAAAAAAAAAAAAGCTGTAACGTGACAGATTCTATTTATCCGATCTTTCCCTTTCTCAGTTCCGCTTGAAATGCGAGTTCTCAAGGTTCAGTTAAATCCCACTTGTACTGTTCTCATCTAGTCCTACTTTCCCTTCACTTAAAGAGCTCTATATCCTCTTGTTTAAATGCAGCCACAACTCTTAAAATCAGTCTGTTGAACTGTAGTTGATCAGCCAACTTCTACACAGTGCAAGCCCTCTCTCTGCGTTACATCTAATAAGATTCTTCTAAAGAGTTTTGCATGATGGGGGCTAAGGTGTATAGGATCAGAAATTCTTCAGAGAAGGGCCAGTTTTCAGGAACTGTGATGTATTCTGCATACTTGGCACACTTTGCAGTTAAATTAAATCCTGGAAATATCCAGTTATTTTTTTATAAAGGTAAATGTGACATTTAAATCTCTAAGGATGCTTCACTAGCAATAGAGCAACAATACTAGTTTCAGGAAAGATATGGCAAGGATACTGTCAAGCACTACAACATATCAGAATTGGATACACTTTCACTTTTTTTTTTAAAGCATTTACTTTAACTATCACAAATCATTTAATCAGATGCGTAAAAATCTTATTTTCAAATGTGACAAAACTAATAACAAGGATGACATGGGAAGCTTTATGAGGAATTCATTCAAATAATTCAAGTAGCAACTCGGTTCTACTGAAAGGATTGCTTCCTCATATGTTGTCCAAGTACTTGGCCCTTACTACAAATAGTACTAAAATATCTTGTTTTCTTTAATAAATTTCTCACAGCACTCCTGAAAGGCAGTGATATACAGTTATTCCCATCCTGCTGATTAGAACTGAGGACTAAGTAATTTAAATAGGAAATCTGTTTAAGAACACCAGAGTTCTAAAATTATGGTCCGAATATAAAACTTTCTATATTGTAACATTATCATAGTTTTTTTTAAACAAAAGCCCTCTACCATTCCCATCTGACCATTGTTAATGTAGTCTCCTTCAAGTTGCATATAAAGACATGGAACTGGAAAATGTGACAGCCTAACAAATGCACAAAGAAGAATCTGAAAATTAAAACCTATAAATTGTGAGCCCTTGATGTAATCTATGTAACACTTAGTCTCTGATGAACTTGCTACCCCTCCATGGCTGGAAAGAGACAAAGGGCTCAGTTGCTTGCTTACCATGCACGCTTGGCTCAGTCTGTATTCCATCGTGAGTACGTCTTGTAAGCTCATGGCAGCTCCTTCTCTGAGCTGTCTCAGAGTGATCTTTAAGGATGTAGGTGACATCTTATTAATAGTCTGGGGAAGACATTAACAATTTTTATTCTCTTCAATTTAGACACATTTGCAAGTCTTTTTTGCATTTTAAACTTTGAAGTAAAGGATGGTACTCTTCTCCCTGAGCTCACTTATGTGAGACCTATTCCTCTTGCTCCCTCCCACCATGCTGTCATTCTAAATGAACTTACTTGCATAAACTTTTATCAGCAAGATCTCTGGGATGTGTGCCATCACTTGTGGAAAGCCTAGAACTCCTAAGGTCACATCATTTATGATCAAATTACTACCAGTCATAGAATCTAATGGAGCTTGAAAGCCATTTCCCAACAGATTCTTTTGAGAAGCGAAGGTGAGTGTTACAAGCAATTATACTCCATTTTTGAATATTGTATCTATAGTCTGAAATGCTCTTCTTGTTTGGGATCAACAGATACTGCAGTAACTTAGCCCTACATTGCTCTGCTGATAAGAAGCCTAGAGGTCTCGCCTTCCTACTTTTGAGAGAACTACAGGCTATAAATATTATGCAACAGACAGGATCTGTTGAAGGCACACAAACAAATACTGTAAATCTGGCTCTCGTGACTATCCTTCCATTAACAGCATGTCAGTAAACAGTAGGGGGAGGTGGGTTAAGAAAATGGGACTGAGCTTTAAAGCTTTCAGAGTTGTGGGGGAAAGGAGCTAAATCTTATTGTTGCTGATCTTTGTTTTCTTACTCTAAACAAGACTCTTCTTTCCCTGTAAACCCAACTAGAAGATCTGTATTATTCACAGTACAATAGACCTATCCTGTTAATTAGGACATTTTTACCACTACTGAAAAGCGGCAGATGGTAAGATTTGCCTCTTTACATTATTTTCATTGCAGACGTTACCCACAGACTGAAATGGCAGGTTTCCAGTCATCAACATTAGCATTTTTTCTGGCTCCCAATTACTCTTCATCCCTCTCCAGACATCAGCTGATACAGCAGTGACCCATTTTGCCTAGTTGAGCTGGAAAACATGCAATTGCTATACAAGCAGGAGGATGTGCGATTTTTGTCTTAAAAACACTGGTTCTGTCATTCTGTTACTTGCATGTTGACCACTTTGCTTGAGAGAGAAACTGGTTTAGATAAAACGAATGCTGGTTCAAACTGTCAACATTTCCTGAGTTCTGGTAAAGCTCTCTAACAAGCAGCTGCCTTTCAGCAGATAAAGCAACCAGCTATACCTCTAATTACATCACTATGTAGGTCTCACATGGATAGCAACTCTTAACTGGACTCCTTATTTACTGTAATATGCTCTTGCTGGCTTTGCCTTTGAACTAGACCTTTGAGTTTCACGTTCTGTCATCTAGATTAGAAAGTCTTTGCTCAAACCAGGTTAAAAGGACAAAGGTTGGACTCTATGATCCCAGAGGTCTCTTCCAACCTAATTGATTCTGTGAAAAGGTATGCACAATGCAACCAGATAGTTCCACATGTGAAATGGTAATGGCAAGTTCTTTCTGGTCAAAGAACACATTGAAACAGGGAAGATTCAAGAACAGCATTTAACTAATCTAGTGCATCCAGTAACTGCCTTATCTTGGCATATCAATGAGGTTCAAGGTGGAGAAAGCACTGCCATAAATTCAGCTGAAGGAAGAGGAACAAGGAAAGAAAATGGGTAGGTGTAATTGCAGAAAAATGAGTCACCAGTGTATCTATAAATAAATTCTCTGTACAAAGAGGAGGAGGGGCTTGGTGCTAGGGAACAAGCCTGAAAAGGAGATAGGATAGGCTGAAGTGGGGAGTACTAAAATGCAAAGAAGTCTTCATAAAAGTATTTGACAACTATTCCAGTATCTCTGAGACCATCTTGATTTTACTATAATGATCCTGAAAGCTATAAGCTAAATTTGCAACAGACCCGAATTCCAATAAGATACTATCAGAAGGTGACTGAATTAAGCGGCAGTGACTCAGTGGAGTCCCTTAGAAGAGTAACAGATGGAATAGTGGCTGCATCTTTTGTCTCCAAGGCCCATTAAAGCTTCTGACTTGAGCTGCTGAGGGTCCTTCAGGGAGGCTTTCTTTAACTTAAAAACACACTGGACCTCTGGGAGGGGTTTTTTTGTTTATCACTTCCCTTCCAATAGATGAAGACACCCATCACTTACTTTCTGAGATACCAAAGCATTTGTTCATCCACACCAAACAATGGTTCTAGATGAGCTCTGACAAAATAAGTATCTAGCCAAAGCATCACAGGACAGCTCTTTAAGGACAGATATACCACTCACTGGACTGTTAACAGTTTCAGAACACTTCTTCACTTGAATTCAACCCTACCAAGATACCATCCAGCTTCATTTCTGTAATTGATCTTGCCAACTTGTTGCATATCCATTTATAGTTTCAGGAGCTAGTGTCTGCATCCCAGCCTGACCAGCAGATCTGGACAAGGTGTCTTGTAATTCTCAGTCTCTGCAGTGTCCTGCACACTACACTGGAATTAATTTAGTAACAATGAAGGCTATTAAATTATGAAGTATCAGTGCTCAGAAGTTGTGCTGTCCTGCCAAAATAAGCTGTAAGAAAGCATCATGTGAAAATCCAGTCAAACTTCTGATGCTTTTCAGGTTTTGACCCCACAGGCTTACTTCATCCAATTGGAAGTGGTACTTCTGTCACTCAGATTAAAGTTTTTTAGCTTGTGTAAATCCTGAAAACAAAGTAATGCTAGAAAGTAAAAGATTTTAAAAAATTTTTTAGTATGAGTTCAAAAAGTGTGTTAGTACTCTATCTTTCTAACTATTTGTAACTGGGTTCAAAATGTCATTTAAATCATGAAGCCATTCTCAAGTAGAATTCCTAACAACTTTACATTCTTCTTATTCATGTAAACCACTTTAGTATCAGATACGTGAAAGCCTGCTAAGCAGGCATGTTTTGAAAGTAAAAAGCAGAAGTACTGTAGATTGAACAGAACAGGATATCTGGGATAGCACGGCTCAGAGTATACTTAGATTATCAGAGAACTAGTAGTTCCACTTTACTAACACTAAAAGGTATCTGTACATCCAAGGTGTGGATGTACCAAGGTGTACCTCCAAATTAGGGTATTTGTATTAGACTTCCAGTTAGGGCTTATTCCATAAGCTTACTAATACATATCATAATAAATATACAGGGAAACAAGGAAAATAAGCATACACACTGCTGTTACTGAACCCTTTACGATCTCTATCACTTGAATGGGCTGTTGTTACTGTACCTGGATGCTAAAGTGAAACCTTGGTTTCACAAAGTGACAGGAAACTATCGTCTATGGATGCACTTTTGGTACTGTGATACTACTGATAAGGAAAATAACTTGCTTCACACAAGTCAGCGAACTGCTATCAAGGATAATGTCTGATAATCTCAGACTGTCATGGTTTTGCTATGTGTTCCCTGCTCTAACCAGTTCTTTGAACTCTGCTCCTCCAAGCAACGTGACAGCAGGCCAGTGCTCTGTCTGTAGGTGTTGTAAAATGCTCAACTGCCAGGGTCCAAGCTGCCATTCTTCCTCCAGCTACAATTAAGTCTAATTACAGTTCTGCTTCCCTAGTAAAACAAAACCTCCAGTTTAACTGGCAAGCATTTCCTGGAGAAAGCCAGATTTATACCTGAATCCCTTTTAAAATATTTTCCCCCACAAATGCATTTTCCTTCTTTGGTTTTATGGATCTTTCACAGCAGAAATTATCTGATCCTGCAAGCTTCCTTAATCCTACTGCTTAGCACAGACTATGTGCTGTTAGAAACTTGTCTGAAACTTACGTACTTGTTCACACTAATAAGCCTTACACCTGCTAGAAAACATGGGGTTTGTTTTTGTTTTTTTTTCACAAATTTCTGTATGGACACAAGCATCTCATATTAACACAGCCTCATCTCTTGAACAGAAGAGACAACAGACAATTGTTCAGGAACTTCTGTCAACTCCAAGGACAGTCACTCATTTACAAATCATATGAAAGAAAAAAGCGGCTATAAAGTCCTATTAAAGACATGAAATCAGAAAACTGAAGAAGCAACAAGAGCCTTTTTTTTTTGTTACGGAATTAAAAAAATCAGTTACACAAAATCATAATTTTGAAGTAGATGACATAGTTTTAAGTTCTAAATTAAAAATATGAAACAAATGTACCCCCATAAACAAGGAACAAGAACTTTTTTTTTTTTTTAATAGAGGAGATCTGAGTTATGAGGCTGCAAATGGAGGAAGCAAGTCAAGCAGGTTTGGGTAACTAGAGCAAATGTGGCAGAACAAACTATCTAGTTAACGTATTTCAGTAACAAAAGTGCTTCCAGACTCCTTGCGTCTTTTGTAGTAGAAATTGTATTTTGAACAAAGCACCCTTTAAAGTCTATATGCTATTTCAAGAAGTTCCACTAGGTTTTATTATGTTTTAAAGTGCCACAAAATTGTATGAAATTAACCTAGGAAAAGCTATAGGCAAATAATTCTTGATTGTTTTCAACCTCCACTGAAACGAATCAATACAATAACCCTGCAGAATTATATTACACTTTATAAAATCTGCAAATAAAAGACTGCCTTGTAACTCAATACTATAAAGAAATAAGAGCCACCAAAAGTGACTGCTATTATCATGCCATCAAACTGTCTCAGCAGACCCTAATGTAAGTACCTTCTCTGCTATTGATAACATAGGGAAAAAGTGAAGAACTGAATCATACACTCTATATAGTGTGGGGGAAAACCATGATGGTAGCCTATGGTAGAATTCAGGTCTACAAATACATAAAATTACTATTCTGGCACTAGCTCATTTGACTATTCAATGAAACTTGAATACAAGTGTGTGTGTCGGGGGGAATAGCTTTCCCTTTCATTCAATTTTGCTTTTTTAATACATATGCTAAACTTCTTGCAATGTACTAGGTGTACTGGTTGGCAGAAAGATAATTTTAAAACTTCCTTTGTCAAAAACTGTTTGAGAGTTCCAGTGACAAAATGTTAATTTTTTAATTAAAAACTAAAACCAAAAATGTATCTGTGTGTCTGGGATGGGATGCCTAATGTTAATGAAACTGCATTCTAAAATGATATTCCTTCTGCTCAAATGAAGTCCAAAGATTATGGATGTTTTATTATATTACAAGAGCAGGATTTCTTCTGTGAGCTGTAACTAAAGTCAAATCAAAGCTTTTGTTGGAGAAATGCTTGTGTTCTATCTAATTGTAAGTAATATTTGAATAGCTCCAAGGCAACTTTTACAAGGTACCTGAATACCGATACCTCAAAGGAGAAAGAGAAAATACACACATTACTTATAAATGAATATAAGTTGCTTCTTGCTTTTAAGGCTGAATTGTGTATTAAGTGTGTAGTATGACTGTACATTTTTTTGAATAGTGTCTATATCCAGCACTCAGAAATGCATTGAAAAGGTCAAAAAATACTTTGTGATGATAAATTGCGTGCTGTTTATCCAAATGAGATATCTGGAATGGAAGAAAAAGGACAACACCGTCCTGCCACTGTTTTATTACAACCCTTGGCAATAAAACGAGAAGCTATAAAAGGAACCTTTGTCACCCAACTCCTGATCATGGGGATGGGAAAAGGGAAAGGGAGTTTGTGTGGTTTTTTGGGTTTTTTAACTAGATTACAATTTCATGCAACATATGATGGTATTTACATTATGTGGTTTTACAGAGGAATATTCCTGTCTGAGTAGAACTACTGACAGTCTCACAGGACTGTACATGAGCACCTGAGGATCTCAGTCTAATGTCCTACTGGTGTTACGTAGTATTTTTGTTAATAAGGTGACTAAAGTCTGCCCCATAACAAGAAAGTACAGAACCAGACTTAAAATCTCTAACAAAAATAAGATAGAAGATATTACCTCTAGTTGCTTAATGGCAAAAGGAGAACCATCTTGCTTTAATTTTTTAACAATTTCTTCCATGCTATTTGCTGAAAAAAGACTAAAAGAAAAAAAAAAATAGTTGTTAATGAATAAACTCCTCCAGCCTTCCTCTTTCTATGAAGTGCTAGTAACACAGAAATTAGAAACAGTGTAACCAGCTGATTTGGCTTTTCTTAGCAATGTGTTCCCTGTTGAGTTTTAACTCACTCAGTTGACAGGCATCTCCTCTTCCTTTACAAATCTCTAGCATTTCAATAAACCTCACTTACAAACTCTGATATTTATCCAGAAACTTTAATTACTACCATCAGTCTTATCTGTATTTTTATAATACATCAGATCTCTAGTTATCAGCTCTCTCCTACTGGTTTGGTGTCAACATCTTTTGTCCCTAAACTCAGTTACTGCCACCATTCTTCAAGAGTTTTAGCTGCTTCTTATCACTCATTTCTCCTTCCCTTTCTGATACATAGAAGTTCCAAGCAATCATAGTAATGGCTTTATACCAATGAGTATAAATATGCTGTGTAACATTTCTTGTCCAACTGAACAATTACTCTCTCAAATCCCCATCCAGTTTCTATAGAAAATGTTCATTTTAACGTGCCATAGGGCAGTTGCTTAATTTAATGGTGTGTGAATTGGGCAAATATGCTCAAGTATTTAATATACTTGACAACTGAAATATTTTATGAGCTTCAGATAAAGCTCCCTAAAGACAAAAGTTTAAATTGTTAACTTGAATGTAATTTCAATCACCACATCTGTGGAACACTGATACTGTTACTGGATTTAACTTCATGTTCTCCATCCAAAAAATAAAAAAAGAAGAAAGATGGCTGAATACCTGTTAATCTTCCCCATATGTTCATCAAGTACAAACTCCTTTTCTTGATCAACTTTGCTCTAATTAGAAAAGCAAATATGTATTTTATTTTGTTATTTTAGACTGAAAAGCTTATCAGTACTGAAATTTCAATGATTTGTTTACAGAAATACCATAATATCATAAATGAATTTTTAATATTCATAAGACTTTTTAATGAATTACAATTTGGCAGTGTGTATAAATGAACTTGTCACTTGATCTTGTAAATGTTAAAGATGTCACTTCATAATGCAGTGCTTGCTCTGAGCTACTATGTATGCATATTTGACTGGGTGGTTATCTTGTACACAAGTAATCACAATTATTCTATCAATACATTTCTATCAAATACACAAAGCAAGTGTAGATAAATCTACTCAAAAACATGGGAATCTTTAAAAAAAAAGTTTGATTTCCTTAAATATACAGGCATGTATATATGTATTTTTAAAATGACAAAAAAAAGAGCACATTTCTCTATCTTTTCTCTGTCATTTTACAAAATTTTATTTAGACAACTAAAGAGTGTGAAAGATCTGTTGGCCTTATGTGGAAAGGCTGTCAAGTGTTTCATATCTTCTGGCATTAAGGGGTTTAGGACATAAGCAGACATTTCAGTAATAGCAGCTGAAGCTAAGAAAGGTTCCCTGTCATTTCAGCTCTGATAACTAAAAATACACAGCTTCCTTTTCCATTCAATGTCATCTTGTAAAACAGTATACTGCAACATATAGTCACTCCCATTTCATAGCTTTCTATTTCATAGCTTTCTATTTTGTCAAAATAATCAGTACTACAATGTAAATTACCTTACCCCATTTATTTTTCTAATTAATCTTTATACATGAATTTAGTAATTCCAAAACAGAAACAACAAGAGTAGACACTGCTCATTTTAAAGCCAAACAAGTGGGGAGTAATACTTGGATTGAATACATTGAATCCTGATTTGACTCCAAAAGTTCCCTTGCTTTTGAAAATAAAATTACAACTTGTATCAAAACAGCTCAAATAGCCACTGAATAAACTGATTGTAAAGCCAAAACCTTTTCTTTTCATGCCCATTGTTATATGGGGCTAATACAAATACTAATTTTGTATTATCAATACAGTTACATTCACCTCCAAAATCATAACGGAGAACTATGGGTTTGTCCACTGGGAAAACAGCATCTTTCTCTCCCTGAAAATACTGCTTTAAGACCTCAGATGCTTTCCCTA